CACGTAAACGTCACTCTTTATGCATAAACATTTACTCCTTCCTCCTAATCCAGCCTTCCCCTGTGGATTCGTCTCCTCTTTCTTTCCGATGTGACCAACTCACATCAGCGATCCTCCTCCTCCTGGCCCACACCCTTCCTGTGGTTCCTTCTTCATCCTCCCATCGACATGACCAACTTACATCCATGGATCCCCTTCCTACTCTTCTTCATGAAACTGCATCACGCCGAATCTGTTACGATTCGTACGATCCCGCAAGAAATCATAGAGTAATGCTCCACAGTTCAGATCTGCCTCGTCTACCCAACTGAGTTCGTCATATCCACGCCAATACACCAGAAATTCACGGTAAATCCGCCCGTATCTAGTTCGCTTCCCCGATCTCATATCGGTGATCCTCTCGACTTCGAACTCGTCGGCCTCGAGGTCCACATTCCAACTATCTTCCGGTAGGAGGACTTTGTCGAAGTCTACCCGGTCGGATCCATCCACCGAAAGACGGGTTTGCGGCCGATCTGGATATTCTTGTTGGAAGTGCAAGATGTGCACGTACATCGACTCCAGAGTAGTATCCTATTTTACGGCATATGGAAGGTTCTAGAAGGATCTAGGCATAGTGATAGGTCTTAGTTAGCGGATGGTCGGTTAGTTCTCACTTCGAGATTGGTAAAGCCACTGACGAGGCCCCGGCGGGGGCCGAAACGCGTCTGGCACGCGTTCAATCCAAGTCATTCACATCTACTCAATTCTACATTTCCTACAGGTTATGAGCCCAAACGGCTTGGTATGGGCACTGCGGTGTACGCGGAATACGCGCTGGGGGAGTCCACGCTCAAGTCGTCGCGGAAGCAACGGGCTACGACGACAGGGGGAGCGGAACATACAAGTGCGCGGTGGACACGCAGTCGCTCTTTGCGTTCGGGAAAAGGACGGGCGAGTTCTGCACAAGGAGGTGGTTTCGAGTGGTGTGAGTGGTGGATCGAAAGAGGTCGTTTGAGAAGGGGAACAACAACAAGCTCAAGCAAGGCTCAAGGACGGCTACAAGGTGTCAAGGGACGACGTGGTGGTGAACATGAGGGAGCCGGGAAACCTAGCGAACGCGGCAGCAACGGATACGCTGGCCAGCTCGCAGGTGGTAAACCCTACAAGAATGTATGCAGTGAAGAGGCTGCAGCTGACAAGCATCATGCGGAGAGAAGCAGAATGGCTGTACGCTCGTGACCAAGACGGCTACGACTCATGTCGTTGAGGGGGAGTGTTGGAAGTGCAAGATGTGCACGTACATCGACTCCAGAGTAGTATCCTATGTTACGGCATTTGGAAGGTTCTAGAAGGATCTAGGCATAGTGATAGGTCTTAGTTAGCGGATGGTTGGTTAGCTCTCACTTCGAGATTGGTAAAGCCACTGACGAGGCCCCGGCGGGGGCAGAAACGCGTCTGGCACGCGCTCAATCCAAGTCATTCACATCTACTCGATTCTACATTTCCTACAGGTTATGAGCCCAAACGGCTTGGTATGGGCACTGCGGTGTACGCGGAATACGCGCTGGGGGAGTTCACGCTCAAGTCGTCGCGGAAGCAACGGGCTCCGACGACAGGGGGAGCGGAACATACAAGTGCGCGGTGGACACGCAGTCGCTCTTTGCGTTCGGGAAAAGGACGGCCGAGTTCTGCACAAGGAGGTGGTTTCGAGTGGTGTGAGTGGTGGATCGAAAGAGGTCGATCGAGAAGGGGAACAACAACAAGCTCAAGCAAGGCTCAAGGACGGCTACAAGGTGTCAAGGGACGACGTGGTGGTGAACATGAGGGAGCCGGGAAACCTAGCGATCGCGGCAGCAACGGATACGCTGGCCAGTGCGCAGGTGGTAAACCCTACAGGAATGTATGCAGTGAAGAGGCTGCAGATGACAAGCATCATGCGGAGAGCAGCCGATGGATGTACACTCGTGACCAAGACGGCTACGACTCATGTCGTCGAGGGGGAGTGTTGGAAGTGCAAGATGTGCACGTACATCGACTCCAGAGTAGTATCCTATGTTACGGCATATGGAAGGTTCTAGAAGGGTCTAGGCATAGTGATAGGTCTTAGTTAGCGGATGGTTGGTTAGTTCTCACTTCGAGATTGGTAAAGCCACTGACGAGGCCCCGGCCGGGGCCGAAACGCGTCTGGCACGCGTTCAATCCAAGTCATTCACATCTACTCGATTCTACATTTCCTACAAGCCGACATCACGATCACCGAGGATGTGACAGCCAAGTCGGAGATCCCGACGCTGTACAACACCGGTCGCGCGATCACTGGCGCGAATGTCGCCCATGCGACGTGTGGTGCGCAAGGAGGTCATCAAAAACGCCAGCGGTGTGTTCAAACCGGGCACCATCACGTTGGTGCTAGGTCAGCCCGGCTCCGGCAAGTCGGCGCTGATGAAGATGCTGTCGGCGCAGTTCCCCGTGGAGAGCAACATTACCGTTGAGGGCGAGATCACATACAATGGCGTGCCACAGAAGGATATCATCAAGCGCGTACCTCACTTCATCGAGTACGTGCCCCAATGCAGACCAAATCATTCGCGGCAGCTCGCAGGAGCAGATGAAGCGTCTAACAATCGGAGTGGAGCTGGCTGCTCAACCGAGTATCCTGTTTTTGGACGAACCTACGAGCGGTCTGGACGCTCACTCGGCCAAGGTCATCATGGACGGTGTGCGTAAGGTGGCAGACAGCGGCCGTACGATCGTGTGTACCATTCATCAGCCGTCATCCGATGTGTTCTTCTTGTTCGACCACTTGATCTTGCTCAAGCGTGGCGGCGAGTCGGTGTTCGTGGGTGAGTTGGGCACGCGATGCCAGAAGCTGGTCAAATATCTGGAATCGGTTCCTACTGTCAAGCCGTGTCCACCCAAGCAGAACCCTGCTCCGTGGATGCTTGAAGTGATCGGTGCCGGTGTGAGCAACGAACGCGCCCGTGACTTGGACTTCGTGGACATTTTCTCGAAAAGTGAGGAGAAACGCCACTTGGACGACATGCTACAGCAGCCTGGTATCACGACGACTTCACCGGAGTGGCCGGAGGTGACGTTCATGAAGAAGCGCGCTTCCAAGGGCTCCACTCAAATGTACTTTTTGATGAAGCGATTTCTCAACCTGTACTGGCGTAGTCCGGCGTTCAACCTGACCCGTTTCGGCATCGTGTTTGGCGTTGCTATCATCTGCGGTCTGGCGTTCCTGAGTGTGGATTACACGACGTACAGCGGTCTGGTCGGTGGTGTAGGTCTGGTGTTCATGTCGACTTTGTTCATGGCTATGGCTGGCTTCATGGGCACGTTACCAGTGTACTCGACGGACCGTTTCAGCGTTCTACCGTGAGCACGCCGCCGAGACGTACAATTCGCTGTGGTATTTTGTCGCAAACGACGGTGGTGGAGATCCCCGTACGTGTTCGGACAGTCACTGCTGGTTCATCGTCATTCTTTTTACCCGATGCTAGGTTTCGAGGGATTTCGCTACGGCCGTGCTTGTACTGAGTGCACGTGTCGTTGTTCGGAGCTGGAGTCAAATGATACTTCGCACAGTTGCTGAGTCCACGCAGTCCCCGAATTTCCAAAGAAGATACTAGTAATGGAGAGCAGTTG